AATAATAAATATAATGCTCTCATAAGTTCAATATAGACGTTTGATTTTAATTGACTACTTTTGTTGATTTTTGCTGAACTGTTGTATCTGAAGCCAAGCTATGGTTGCAGATGATAAACAGCTATTGTTCTGACATAGATGTTGATATTTTCATTGACATTAATGACTAAGATGAACAATAACAATAAATGCTTATTTTCAACCTTCACTCATTAGTTAATGACATAAGCAACTTCTTTGCTGAATCAGATAACAAATTCCTAATACTGAAGATGTACTTTCTCAATTATTTTTTTTGCTATTAATGTTATAGCTAGAGCTATGATATACTTTAAGTGTAATTGTCCTTATTAACATTTTTTCCATCACTCTCTACACCCAGAAGATCAACAAAACAATAAAAAGAAACTTGATTTGCAGTGTTAGCTGATTTTTCCTGGCATAAATACTCCCACTGTGGCCAAATCCAAGCTACCAGCATGTATTTGGAAGGAGATGCACAGTATTTAGTGCTTTAGTTAATTATTTAATATTTATACCATTCAGATACAGTAGACCTGAAAACCTCAACAACACACGTAAAGGTAAGGTGTAGTAACATAATTAAGAAATTACAGGGTTTGAATATTTACTACCTTTGTTTTTAATGCCTTTGATTGTAAGCTTATACAATGTGATATTTAAGAATGGCTACATTTACTAAGCAGCTTGTAAAGTTCTTCAAATATGAACTATTGGCTCTTTGATCAGTACTGTTAGCTGATTGCAGCCCTCACTTTGGTATGCTCAAGATGCTCACTCTCAAGGAAGTTTGCAGGGCTTGGACCTCAAAGACTGCTGGGTCCTTGGCCCTCTTCCCCACGCAGAGAACTGCTGATTTTTCTCTTCTTGGATGAAGCTCAGGTAGAATTATCCCTTGCCCCATGCAGATATAATGTCTTCCTTTATGCCCCATTCTTACTTCTTAACCTTTCTCCACCTCCTGCAATATCTATCGCATATGTTATCATTTTCCTACTATACTCATAGTCTTATGAGCCTGTAGGAAAGAACTGTGACCCATAATGGGTGTCAATTTACTGTCTGGGAATAAATGTGGGGAAGGTGAGTGGGCTGTTAGGGCTGATGGAGAACAGGAAATTAAAAGCTGCCGTCAGAATGCAGGGCCCTCCACCATCCTGGACAAACCTATTTCACTGACCTCATCTAGCAGGAAGAGGCCAAGGCGGCTCGCTTTCATCGGGGTTAGTGAGAGAGCCTTGAGGAGTGACAGAAAGCGGTCTGTCAGCACACTCCTTAGGAAAGGATCAGCCGGCTCCTTACGAGAGGACATCAAAAGATTCTCCTTCAGAGGATCTGGCAAGATACTACATTATAAACTTTGTCGGAAGTTTTAAAGTAACAGAAGTAGTAGTAGAGAACACAGACTTTACAGGAGCCATCTAGGCTTCTGATTAGCATTTCCTTCATACACGTTGCACCTAAGGATCAGTGAACAATTTTATCACCACTTCCACAAAGAAAGCACACCGCCTATTGAGCAGAGCATGTGTGACCCCCAAACTTCACTCATAATGTGCTTTGACTTTAGGGGTAGAGCAGCAGAGGCTGGATCCTGTCTATATTGCCCTTTTCCCGTTTACTGTGCAGTTAATGTTTCAACATGTTCTGTGATGGGGAACTCACTACCTTTCAAATTTCTTAGGCTGTGCTTGGCAGAACATAAAAACAAGAGAGACGGATAATAGAGGTCTGAAACTAAGCCAGTGTCTTATCACTCATGGCTGCATTACTCTCAAACTCACTGCTCTGGGTTGGACAAAGGTTGGCAAAGGATGTTAACACACCAAGGTCTTATGTGTCTGCAGGGAGTCCTTGCCAACAGGGCAGAAGAATCTCCATTAAGACTAAGTTAAAAACCTGAGTGTTGCCCATACTGGTCACGTGATTAGAAAATGACCAGCTTAGGGGCATGATCAATTTTTGTTCATATAATGTAAATATTTGAAGTTGCCCCAGATTAGTAATTATAAAAATAAATACATTTGTGGAACAGCCACTGTAGTCAATGCTGATTGTCACTGATTTTGTAACATTGTTACTTTCAGTAAATGAAGAAATGTACCGACAGGTTGAATATTTTCATATTGTATTGGGAACTTATAGAAAATCTTATATCTGTATTTATACATAAAATCCAGAGACTAAGGTGAATTTACTCACCCAGGATCATCTAAGTTGGAAGTGGTAGAGCTATATTCAAATGTAGGCCTATCTCCAAAGTTATGTTCTTTGCACTAGACCATGAAATAAAGATATGCTCCATGCATTAGATATCACTGGACATTAGACATAGTACTACTATGTTAATAATAACAGTTCATAACAGTTAATAGAACAGGTCATACTATTAATAATATTATTCATAAGTTCACAGTACCATGTTTAAGTCCAGAGGTTAGTGATAGAATGTAACTCATTTCACTGCGGACTAAGATATAAACATTGGACATGTTTGATGCCAATATTCATGTCTACAGATATTCAGACATTCCCTGAAATATAGAAAATTATAGAGTTTCTCCCTTCTTGCTATACATTCTTTTACTGGCATATTGCTAGTCCTTCTTTCATTCAGCAAACACTGAAGACCAGGAAATGGGTTAAGTGCCGCTGGCACCCAGGGAACAAGACATGCAGGATTCTTTCCCCCAAAGAACTACTGTTTCCATTGAAAAAGGTGATCATAACACAAAAGTAAAAAAAATGAACACACAGCTAGGATCATTGTAGACCATGTAACTGGTTATGAAAGAAATACACTGTGTGATATGGCAGGGAGTAACTAGAGAGTGACTATTGAAAACCTAATGGTTTGTCACTGCTGTTTTCTTCAACATTAGTGTCAACAGGGAGCCTATATGAGGCTTTCCAGGAAGGGAAAAAATAGAAAACATTGGTAGATGTTTGCAGCAACCTCCCTGTACAATATGAATGATTGGAAAATGAATCATTCCTTTTGGAATTGTGCATTGACTGATGCCAATGGCATGAAAAAAGGAAGAATTTTGCAGTGGAGGAGCTTGACTTAAATGCTAGACACTTAAAACCTTAGTGTCTGTCAGCAACTTTTTGTTCTTTATAGTTAATAAATGATTTTTTGTTTAGAAAACTAACCTCCTCTGTGGAGACAGGGCTGCAGCTACAGACGTTTGGGTCAGTTGGCTCCCGGGAATCATTAGGAGAAATGGCAAGATTGAGCTGAAAGCTCAGTGCCTGAGGCCAGCTGGATCCCCCGTTACTGCGACGTGTCCTTGCACAGGTGGTAAATGTTTCCTACAATCTCTAAAATGAGTGTTGCACCATTTCCCAAATGGTCACTAGATTCTTTCCAGCTCCAGCAACTTCTGATTCTGTGTTCAGATTCAAATTACCTAACTACATATAAATATGTAGATTACCTGTCTATCATGACAGGGAGAGAATTTGTGAAGGTAAAGTAGAGGACAGAACTGTCTGTTTGGGTTATGTTATAATATTCTGGATTTGGCTCAGACCTTTTAAACACCTGACTCTAAAGTCATTTGCTTTGGATTCCATCTAACAAATTAAAATTTTCTAGTCCAGCATCTTCATTTTGAAAAGGAAACAACCACACTGAGATATGAAGGACTCAGCCATTGTTCCAGTGGCAATGGCTAAACTGATACACACAATGGCTAAACCAATACTGGAGCCCAGAATATTCCTTGCAAAAATATTCTTTATACGATTCCCAAAATAGAGAAGCAAAGTAGGAATTATACTCATGAATACTCTTTTTAGAGCTTCTCTGAATAATCTGGCCACCCAAAAGAAATGAAAACAAATGTCCAAACAAAAACTTTGTCCACTGCGGTTCATAGCAGCATTATTCATACGAATCCAAGAGTGGACACAACGCAGAAGTCCATCAAAGGACAAATGCGTGTGGTATCCAGACAAGTATTATTTGGCAATGCAAAGGAATGAAGTACTGATACAAGCTATAATATGGGTGAATTTTTGACAATACATTCGTAAATGAAAAAAATCAGTCGTAAGACACTACATATTATATGATGTGTTTATATGAGAAGTAGAAAATGTGAAAATCTATGGAGACAAAAAGGTAGATTAGCGGTTACATGGGGGCAGGGGTGGGAAAGGAAATGATATTGCATAGAGGGTTGCTTTCAGAGGGGATGAAAATGTAAAATTAGACTAATATTTGCATAATTCTGTGAATATATTAAAACTACTAAGTGTTGTACTTAAATGGGTGAATGCTTTAAAGGGTATCTGAATTCTCCCTCAGTGAAGTTGTCTGAGCATCCATCTGCATTGGCATCTCACTGCTGGAGTACCAAGAAGTTGGGCTTCCTTTTTCTACACACCAACTTAATCTTGATCAGCTATAAGAGGCTAAAAGTAATTGCATAGCTATGAATTCAAATTTCACAGAGTTTGAAGAAAACTTTGAATTCATAGTCTAATAGTGAAACACTTATGGAACCAGATTTCTTAGGTTTCAATCCTGGCTCTGTTACAAGATGTGTGATATGGGACAATATCTATTTGTTTACTTTGAGCCTCAGATTCCTCATTTTTAAATGGGGATAATAATAGTACCTAGCTCATAGGTAAACTAATAGCTATTTGTGCAGTTTTAGCTAACATGAGGTAGCTTAATTGTTGAATGATTGATAGTCATATGATATAGTTGGAATCCCTCACTTTGCAAATGTAGTACTGTTGGCATTATGCTTTAAAGAAGTTACATAAAGTCACATAGAATCACGTAGTAAAATACAGGGAGGTATTTTGTAGCTTAGTATTCTCAACTGTATCAGATGACTTTTCTTATTTTTAAGAAATAAAATATGGATTTCGATATTGGTGGACTAAAATGTTTCTCACTGTGGAATAATTTAATCAATTTAGTCTTTATAGGTTTCTTTTTTGTGGAAGGAGCAATTGGATGCAATTGGATAAATGGTAAAGAATACAGTGTGTTTGAACTGATGATCATTTGAACTGATGGAAACTAAAAGCAAATTTTGTACTTAATTCAGTTTATATTCTACAGATTACCCCCAAAGAAAAGTTCATGAATTTTGAAGATCCATGATAAGTCACGTTCAGTTTTAAGGATATTTACTCAATTAATCATTTCCATCAATAATCTCAAGTGGGAATGATATCCAAGGAATTGTGACATATAGTTGAAATCTACATTTTTCAAATACAGTGGATTTAGAAATATAAACACACATAAAAATAAAACAATCCAGTGGTTAAATGAAATACTTCCTGCTAGTTTTTTTTTTGTGTGTGTGTGCGCTTTCCCAGGTAATGTTTAAAGTGATTCTGGAAAGTAGTCACAAAATTACGTTCACTTAATTTGCTGACCTGGAGACAGAGAACAAGAAGGTAAGAAACAAGAGGCAAGAGAAAGAAAGAAAATGACAAAAGCATAGTAATTATACTCTTCTAAGCAGTTTTGAAAAGGGTTAATGTTATTTGATCTTGATATAATTCCATCCTTCTCTCCTTAAACAGATATCCAACAAAGGTCTGTGGACCGGAATGCAAAGTTTTATATCTTAAAAGCAATTTATCTCACTAGTCCTTAAAATTCTGAAGTCATTGAGAAATATAAACTGAAAGGCTTTTTGAGCAGCATTTTTCCTATATGGAAATAAAAGGGATGAAAGCAAAATACAAACTTTGACATTTGACTGCATTTATAATCTGGACACATTTGGTAAACATTTTGATAATGTGGAGTTTAAGTTTAAACAAATGACAAAGATATGTCCAAAACTTGGGTTTCTTAACTTAAACTTTACATCTGATCTGTTATATCCCTAAACTTTTACATCATGTTGCCAAAAAAACAATATTTAATTAACTCAAGAATCAATAGTTCCAATGAGCAGAGTTCTGTAGTTTAATCACAGAACAAGGAAAAGAGAATTAAACTAAATTGATAGTTGGGGTGTGCATTTTATTTGTTCAAACTCTTTTCTTTTCTTTTTTTTTGTGCTCAACAAATTTTGAAGGATATTCTACCAGCTCTTTTTATTTTTCCAATGGGAACTTAACTAAGGCAAACAATTCCCATCAATTTTTTTCAGTTCCACCTGTAGTATTAAAATACATTCTGTGAGCATGTGGTATCAGATCTATTGTAGGTGCAGGAATTTAGAAAAACAGGGTCATTGCTGTCTAAAAGCCCTATTCAGTGGGAAATACACACACAGAATACATAACGGATTTAAGCTGTCTGTCACAAATGCCATAGCAAAGGTATCTGGAAAGCACTATGAAAATATCTGGGACAGAAAGATAATGATCACTTTAGGGAATGGTCAGACTTCTCAGGAGATAGCAGTTAGGCTGGTTTTCAACAGGGGCTGGCAGGGCCGGACAAGTAACTATGGGGGATTAAGAAAGACTCAAAAGTTGCAACAAGAAGTAATAATTGAAAGCAGGGCCCATTCTCAGAACAAAAAGTAAATTGGATTGGGCTCTTTCACCTTCTACCATTCAGTTTTTCCCATCCTTTTAAATGTCATAATCCGGCAGCTGGGAAGCAGCCATCCCCCGTTTTGCTGCACCAGTGTCTGCACTCATGCTTCTGAGCGAGGGATTGTCTAGGGCTTGCATGAAACCAAAGCTCTTGGCAGTAGGCCCACTTTTTAGGATGACAATAAGAACCTGTCCTTTTTGCTCTCAGTTGCTCTGTTCAGAGTTTGGGCACTAGATTGTTCACCTCTGAAGAACAGCTTGAAGATGTGGCTCATACGCTCTGGGGGGTGTAGCAAATGATCTCACAACTCATATGGTCTTATAAACCTGTTCTGCAGGCTTCCACATCTCAGCTGTCAGAATCAATGCCTTTGAAAACATAAATCAGTTCTATAATGTTTATTTCTTTTAAAATCTGCCAAGAATAGTGGTATCTTTCTCCATTCTAGGGGAGAAACAGTGCAATGAAGATATTCATCACACAGCTTGAATGAAAGATGACTGGTAGGTTAATTCATTTCCTTTCACTAAGAAATTTGGACTTTGTTGCTATCTGGAACATGATTTACATAAATCAATGCACCATTGATTTAACTACAAAGTTACTTTAAAATAACTTCTCATTCTTTACATTGTCGATTCAACATTTTTAGGAAAAGAAGTAAACTATACATTTGGTCATTTGTGAAGACTGTACAAAAGGAAAGAAGAGCACAGGCAACGTTAAACAAAAAAACCCAACAATTTCACAAGTTCTCTTTCACTCTGTGACTGTTTTCAAAACATTCCTTTCAGTCAAATAAAATGACAAGCATAATTTTAAATATTTGTTGATGTGTAGATTATGTTAAATTTGGGATAAGTGCATACATGTATCATGCATTCACAGACATCTCTGGACCGGTGAGTACTTCCTCTTCTGAGCTCTACAAAATACAGAATTCATTGCTTTGTTGTGGTCAATTTTCATATTTTTACTATGTTAGGAGGCCTCCCAGAGCCTTTATGAGTGGTAGGCACTTATAAATGTTGATTCTCTGCTGTCAGTACAATAACACAGAGGCCTTACAATGATAGATGAACTTTGAAGAAGTCATTATGAGCCTATTTCATTGTCTTTTATGCAAACATCATTTATTGAGAAAATTATCAGTGCATTATCTTTGATGATAAGTCTGTTTTATCCTCAGTTTCTTTCTGTTCCCCCCCCAAAAATCCGGATACGCTGCTTTTGTGGAGCTTCCTAATATTGATAGTAAAATCCATTCCATCTTCCCACATACAAGCAATATTGGTCCATGTGATTTTTTAAAAGTCTTAGACATTTTCAAGTTCATACTACAGCTTCATCAATTGTCCTCCAAAAGCCTATTGAGTGTATCTTTAGCCACACCGACTTTACAATTTATATCCTGGTTAGTTTTGATGGAAATCACCCCTGGCATGGGGCATTCCTGGTTTGAGCTCTGAAAGTTCCAAATCTCAAGAAATTCTCTGTCCTGGGCAATGGTATACAATTGGTGATTAGATAGTCTTATCACTTCTGTAACTAATTTAAAAGGATGTGTCTCTTAAAGATAAGATATCTTAAAACATTATTATCAGCATACCTAAAAATCCTGTACATCACATAGCCCATCAGAGTTCCCTTTGTCTAATCGTCGTAAATGTTTTTAACAATCTGTTTTCAAATTAGGAGCCACATAACATGCGTTAAGTTGGGAGTGGTTGACATGTCTCTTACAGTTTTGTTTTAAATCTATAGAGTCTTTTTGTGATAAAACCAGGAATGTACTAGAGTAGTATGTAATCAGTAATTTCAGTTCTTCTATCCCTGAAGAAATGTGAAAGTACCAGATCCATTAATTTAATGAGGTTACATTAATTACTTGGAGAACATGGTCAGCTCTGGAAGCAAAAGTCCAAAGGTGGAAATAGCAAGCTGATGGCACATAGGTTTAATTGAGAGTGCTGACTTAGATCTGTTGGCTGTGAGACCCAAGATAAAATGCCATGAATTTCTTTATGAACTTATCTGGAGTTCGGGAGAAACAAAACTTTGATTAATTAATAATATCAAGAGTAGGACTGGGGTAAGGGAGTGAAGGTACACTTGCCAGGTGTTTGCTGAAACTTTTCCCAAACCAGTTCTTCCCCAAGCTCTGTCTGCATCATTTAAATCAGTTTCCTAAGATGACCAGCATATGCTAAATGGATTGAACAATAAGAAAGAAACCATTCTGGGAGTTTTATTCATCTTGATGTATAAATTTAACTTGAAAAAAATTAGAAAATCTATATGCCAAATATTATTGCTTGATGCCTTTTAAAACATTAAATGGAAATTATTTGGTACATATTAGTAATATTCTATAGGCAACATAAAGATGAGAAAATTCATACAGAAAAAATATTCATGCCACTATCAGAGTACATCTTGAAAAAATTAAGTACATTTCATTTAGGGAATCACAAAACTAACCGACAGGATTCCTGATCTTTGGGCTATATTTCATGTGAATGTCAAAAAATCTCCCAAACTAGGTATCTTGAAAATTACCAGTCAGAAGTGTCAGACCTCAGGAAAGCTGTGGACTGGCCAGTTTTTCAAGATCCAAAGTAACTCCACCCACTGTTTCCTCAGAACCAATCTCCATTCTTTTAATACACATCAGGTTCATTTTCTGTCCCTTTACCCTGTGTATCTTCTAGGCTTACATTCCCCCCTGCCAAATCAATTAACTCCTTTTCTATGAAGGTCTTCTTGGCCCATGTTTGCACATGGATTCTGTCTACTCCTGCCCACTGCTATTTGTTGGTCTTTTTGCTCTTTCACTTTCTGTGGCCACTATTAAGCAAATGACCTCTAACTATTTATTTACAGTTCAGATTGCCAAGAAAAAGGAAGGCTGTAATTCTTACAAAGGTTTTTCCAGGCAATTGATTGATTCCTCATGAGTTACAAGCCAATTATAATGTTATCATGTGTAACCAGAGGGATGGCATCTTGACATGGGGGCAAAGGACAGTAAATGTCATATCAAGTTACACAAAAGGGAATTCTCGGGGTTGATGCAATGTACGTTTCTTTTTCAGAATACTGAATTCTATTACATAACATGAATAGGTCTGTAGTGGGTAAAACGTAGATAAAAAACATATACATTTTAAGTATGAATACGTAACGAGTAAGCACAGTTTGCTAGACCTTGGTAGAGTTCATAGGTTATGTTCAATGAAGGCAAGTACTTAGTAGCATATTAGAAGAGAGTGGACAGTATTCCATTGTGTGAATATGTCACAATTTCTTTTTCCAGTTGCCTGTTGATGGACATCGGATTGTTCCATGTCTTGGCTGTTGGGCATAATGCTGCAGTAAACATGGGGGTGCGTGCATCCCTTTAGGTTAATGTTTTGTTTTCTTTGGATAAATGGCCTGGAAGGAAAAGAAAGGAAAATATTGGAAAGAGGAAGTACAAAGAGATATAAGGTAGAAGCATAGACTGGACACAGGGGGTGGGTGCGCCATATGAATATTGTTGTACCTTATGTTAACACACACAAGAAAACATCCCTCAAAGAAGAGGCAAGAGTTAAAAATGACCCAGCCAGGCAGTCAGCCAGCCTCTCTCGTTGGCCACCCTGTGACTACTGCGGTACATGAATCAAATGCCCTAGGTGCACAGCTAGAGACTATCTATGTGACCAACCATGCTCCTACTAGCTGATCTACTCAGAACCAATATCAAAGGTCCAAAGAGCCAACGATGAACACCAACACTGAACCACCATTTGGACACTATTTTTGGGGGAAACCAATTTGTTATTTGGTACCATGTTGACTGTATTTGACCTCTTCCATTCTGGAAAGGCCTGTGATTTGTTCTCAAAAGAATAGATCAATATTGAGTTGGTTCCCCTTTCCTCCACATAAGGTCCAGCCGGCAGGGCTATTCGTTTTGTGGAGTGATGGACTCACTGCCAGGGGATGTCATATTATATTGCATCAGAACAGGTGACCGTCCTGATAGCAAAGAAGGTATTTGCTTACTTGGAGCACACACTATCAGATGTGTTATAATCTTGTAAGAAGATTCAGCTAAAATGTTTTTTGTGAATAGCTGAAGGTGCAGTGTAGGCTTTCATCAGAATGTATAGGTCCAGGGGGCTGCAGCTTTTCCTCCCTAAACACAAAGATGTTTCAAGGAAATACTGAGGGGGCTCTTTAGAACCTTCCCTAAGTCATGTCAGCTGGGAGACAGGAACAACAGCCAATGTCAGAAATTCTAGCCAGACCCATCCCCCCAGTCTTTCTTACAGAACAAAAGCCTAATTTGCAGAAAAAGCAAGAACAACTGTTGCCTTACCACACTGGAAACCCATTCCAACTAGAAAAGAAGAAAAAGATCTACCTGGGGCAGGACAAGAATACTTGCTAGGTCCAGCCCTAATTGACAGGGACAATTTTGAAGGCCATGCTCCACAAGTTCATAGAGGTGCTGAGGCTAAGGCTTAATCAGAACGTTAGAGAATGCCTCTCCTCCCCTACTTCCCACCACTAAGGTAATGCACACTGAGTCAAAATAATAGTAGAATACAGCTGGGAATACTGCAAGACACAGATTCTTCTCGGGGTGCAGACATTGAGAAGTACTCCCTGGGAAACTAGCCCACTCCTAAATGCAAGCCATCACTAAAAGAGCATGAGGGCTCTGGGTGCTGAACCATAGCAAGAACCCAACTTCAAACCCAACCCAACATTTGACGTGATTGACAAGAACCCCCACGCTAGAGTCAGGAGAAGGAAAGGTATGGTCATCTCAAAGCATAAGATAAATATTTGTCAGAATATACTGTGCTGTGCAACATCTGTGGCTTCCAATTAAAAATTACAAGGTATTTGAAAAGTCAAGAACAAACCCAGTCTGAAGATGTAGAAAGTCTGATATCAATTATCAGAACTAGGATCAGAGAGGACTCAGCTGCTGAGAATTGACAGGGAATTTAAAAATAGCTATGAATAACACATAAAGGCTCTAATTGAAAAGTCAGACAGCATGCAAGAGCAGATGGGTTTTAGCATAGAGCTAGAAACTATAGGAAAGAATCAAATTAAATGGAAATACTAGAAATCAAGAACACAGTAACAGAGATGATGAAGTTTGCTATATACTTCCTTTCTCAGATCTCTGAAAATAAAAGTCAGTTATTTCACTCCTTACTTTACACTTTTACTGATAGAAATACTTGGCCTGATTTGACCTATCAAGTGTTTAAGACTTACCTGTATTTGTTTTTTGATTGCTTGAGTTATCCAGTGAATAAAAACAAGCAAATCCAAAAGAAAGTTATTTTACTGACTCAGCTATGTTTTACTATGTGTGTGTGTGTGTATGTGTAAATGTATCTTTTAAACCGATTTCATCAAATTTAATCAAAACAACTGAATTAATTTCTGCATAAAGCCACTACTTTTCAATGGATGTGTTCAAGTATAAAGATGGGAATGGGCTTTGTCTGAAACTAAGAATGCTATTTATCTAGAAATTTCTGCATATCAGATAAGTATGCAACCTTTCAGGCAGCAACAATTTTCTGTTTCAGCTCAGACTAAACTTCCCAGGGAATTCCATTAAATTGAATTGTTCTGTGGGAACACAACACTCTGTGATATAAAACAGCCTCCAACAATTTACTAAATTGCTTTTTCATTAGGCTGTATTTTTAAAAGACTAAATGGTGAGTTTAAGCATTTCTCTCAGCATAATACACATAAGACAAGATCAAGAAAATCTTGAATGACAATGCAAGTAGTGTTCTGTTG